TTGCTGAGTACTGTATATTAGTTGAGGCCAAAGGCCTGAGTGAACAGATGGTGTTTGAGGTGTTTTTTGAAGGTGTCCAGAGTGTCTGCATTCCTGATTGCACAGGGGAGAGAATTCCAGAGGGTGGGGGCTGCGACACTGAAGGCTCTGTTGCCAAATGTTTTCAGCTTGGAGCGCTGGATGGAGAGCAGCCCTTTGTCAGAGGACCGCAGGTGACGAGAGGGGGTGTAGGGCTGAAGGAGGTCAGAGATGTATGGAGGGGCTAGGGAGTGGAGAGATTTGTAAGTTAGCAGGAGGAGTTTGTACTGGATGCGTGACTTGACCGGGAGCCAGTGAAGGTGGATGAGGGTAGGGGTGGTGTGCTTATGGCACGTCAAACACTGTGTGTCTTCCGTTAGCTTTCCGCAGTAGAATCGGAGGGCGGAAGACTGCTAAGCGCCTCCTGATGTCCAACACCGGCCCGTCGGGCAGCCTTGATCAGGACCGCTTCCTGCGTGCTATGCTGCAGTTGCGAAACACGCCTGACCCCGACTGCACCCTCTCGCCAGCACAGATCATCTTCGGCCGCCCCCTTCGTGGCTCGCTCTCCTTCGTGAACCGCCTCGAGAAGTTCTCGAACCCGCATAGCCGCCTGCTATGGCGCGAGGCATGGGCGGCGAAGGAGGACGCCCTTCGGACCCGTATGTCCCGTACCACCGAGTCTCTGGTGTATAGAGTCGGAGAGGTCCTGATAATTTATTCCGGTAAATTACTCTGACCTACTAATTGACCTTTCCGAAGTTATTGAGTCTATGTAAGTTTGCTGCTTGGCTCAGATCCACCAACGTCAGCAAGATCTCACCTCTATTAACCCCCCGAAGAACCAGGTTCAATTAACTGCTGTTTCAATTCAGACAACTCTTTTTTAATCTGTTTAAGGGATCCCGAAGGATTTTGATATCAGTAAATGGAGTGTGCTCCTACCTAAGTGTGTGTGGCAGGGTGCAGTCTTACCTTTGAAGCAGGAGAGGAGGGCACAGGTGTCTTTTAAATTATCCCAATCCAACTGGTGGGATTCAGTTTATTTGAAGAAAAATAGGTCCAAACTAATACAGGGTTTTTACCTTCTCTCTTTACAACATTATAATCATACTAAAAACCTGGTGCTGTGATCATGTTCAAATATGAAACTTTAATTCACAGTCTTACATTTATTACCAAAATGTTTTAATTTCAACTGCCCAATTCAGTTGTGACATTTTAAAATTCTCCCCATAGAATTTAGAAGTATTTCCTCGTAAAAAGACCGGTGACCATAAAAAGCGCATTCAACTTTCCATTCACCAAATCAATTCACATCAGTTTCATACCGTTTTTTCCGACACAGACAGCGGGTATAACATTCAAAAACCCATACCTGTCCGCAAAAATTCGGAGGGAAGATTTTCCTCACAGGTGGCGGTATTTATAATATTCATACACTTTTTCCGACACAGACGGCGGATTAACATTCAAAAACCCATAACTGTCCGCAAAAATTCGGAGGGAAGATTTTCCTCACAGGTGGCGGTATTTATAATATTCACAAACACATCTCTCATCAAATCATTCCACTCAGCCAACAACCAAGAAATTCGAGAGATATTTACCCCGTCTGGCAGAACCTTACCGAGAGCTAGTTACCCAGCTCCCGAGCTTTCACTCTCAAACCCCTGTCTTTATGCACAAAAACCCCGATAGCATTTTCCAAAACGCCTCCTCCACACCCACATCAGGAAAAACTGGGCAGGGCTTCTACTGTACAGGGCTAAACATGACCCGACATGTTCCATAGCTTTTATGGCAATAGACACACCTTTTCATGTTAGTGTAAAAAGGACATGAACTTTCTTTGGCCTCTAATGTGTTTCTCCTTAAGCCTGGAGCCCCCCCCCCCCCCTCCCTGTGGACTGCTGCCAGAGGAGAGGGAGGAAAACGGCCTACTCTCTTCAGAGACACCCATAATTCATAGATCTTACATACTCAACCTAAACAAACCACTTTGTTTTGTTTATACTGTAAATATAGAAAAACCTAAAATATGAAGTATTTTTCATTGTGGGTTATACAAAAATATAATTGATTATATTTGATTATACCTAACTTTCGTTTTAAGTATTAAACATACTAGATCTCAACACCCTCTCTTCAAAATGCAAAGTTATCAAATAGTAACAGAAAAAATTATAAGCATACATACATATTCAAAAACCGTCAAGAAGCATTCTCATTATGGGTTTATATAAGAATATGATTTTTAATTAACTTTCGTTTTTAAGTATTCACTTTATACTAGATCTCAACACTGGGGACTCACTCAAGACCGCTTCGCCCATTGACTCTCGGCGAAAGGGTATTCCTCCAGAACCAGCAAGGCCCGAGCCCCCACAAATGGGACAGGTCAGGGATCGTGGTGGAGTCGCTGGGCAACGACCAGTATCGGGTCAGGGTTGACGGTTCGGGACGTCTGACACTGCGCAACCGGCAGTTCCTCCGTGCCTACACGCCGGCCACACCCTGCGCCCGTGAGCAGTCGACTGCGCCGTCGCCGTCGCCCGCTGTCCTGGGACATCAGCCCCCACCTATCCACCCGGGCTGGGCGACGCCCCAGGGGATTGCTCAGCGGCCGGCTGATGGACCCCGCGACTCGGCTATGGGTGCTTCCCCACCGGTGCCTGCTGATGAGGCGTCCTCTGACTTCACCGTTCCTACGGGTGCCTTCCTGGGCGCACCGCTCCCGGTGCCGCAGTCGCAGCCGACGCTGCCCTAGCCTACTCGGCCGGGCCGCGTGAGGAGGCCGCCTGCACGTTACGAGCCCGAGTCCGGCAGCTGGATACGGGATTTAGACCGTTAATCTATTCCAGCCCATAGCTTTCCGGTCTGGGGGGGATGAAGAGTTTATCGCCGGACGCGTCTGAGCCGTAACGCGGCGCGTGTGGGGGAATAGCACCCATTGATTAGAGTGGCCGCGACCCTTACGACCGCCGCGGCGCAGCCGTAACACTGCGCCGCAGCCGTAACACGGCGCAGCGCGGCGCAGACGGACCGGGTGGAAACTGGGGGTAAGCCGAGCATGGAAAAAAACACAAGCGCATTATGTCTCATCCGGCGAGACATAATGCACCTGGAAATGGTCCAGGCGATGTTGGCGTCTAAGCCGTGGGAATGCCCAACAGGCACTGCAGGACGGGGAATGTCCGCCCCCCTCCACGGCGTGGTCAGCCCCCAGACACTCGAAGCACCATCTGTGAGTATCAGCGCCCACGATTAAGCCAGGGCAAGTAGGGCAAGGCCGAGATTCCAGGAGTGGTGAGTCCATATTATTTTCTCTCTTCTTCTTCTGACGTTTTAGCTTTCTTCAGTTGTCTGCTCGCTGAAGAGAACAATTATGACGGTCGGAGGGTGTAGCATGATAGAGAGTACCCATAGAGTCCAGTAGAGGGCGGAGCCTGTGTGTGTGTGATATATAACCTGCCGTTGTTTTCATTGTAAAAGGTTTACGTGCGGATTTTAGCATTGAGCTTCAAAAACGTTGTTCCCAAGTTAAGCCTCACAGAGCTGATAGCAAAGCTGCAAAGGCTTGTTATTGTATTGTTTCATCCTTTTAAACAATTTGAGATTACCATTGGCAACTGCAGAGAGTCTGCTAAACCCACACCAAATGAGCGCAAAGGCTATCTTGATGGCTGTGCTGGACATCTCTACTCTTTCTATTAGTACACACTTTGCATCTGTTTTCCATAAAGTATTTCCATATTAAGGGCAGGACAGAACTGAAAAGTAGACTACACATGTTCACAAGAGATGGACATCAGTAAATGATTTGAAAAGTGACAAAATGGTTAGGGTGTCCTCTTGCCTTGTCCTAAGCAACATACACAGATTAAAACATGTCCAAGCAATACAGGCCTATCAAATGTAACAATGACACACACTATAATGAGACATTTAAAGGTTAGAAAGTACACAGAGACAGATTAAACCAAGAGCAAAGAAGGTGTGTTTGTCTGGGTGTCCCACCTTCTTCCCTTCCTCTGATAAGCTCTCTGCTGTGGGGGGGGGGGGGGGTTGGGATGCTGCTCGTGGGTTCCCCCAGGGACGAGCAGCCACCATCTGCTGGTAAGGTAACACCAGCGGGGGGACACTGGAGAGCAGACACAGAGTGAAAGCCATTACACTTCATCAATACAAATCTGCACTCTTCCAGCTGTGATTCACAGTCATCGAACAGTTAATTACTGCTGGGATTTATGGTATTATTTCATTACGGTGTACCAGCTAAATAAGGTCAAGATAAATTAATAAAGGATTGACTTGTGGTGGGTTTGCTCTCATAAAGGAATTGTTTTAATTACCTCAATTACATCCCCCTTGAATACAACCCGTGTCTGTTGTTGAAGGTTTAAAAGTTGATTATGTGTACCGATATTAAAGTCTTCAGTGTTTTTCCCAAAAGTTGTCTCAAAAATCCTGACAACACATTTCTCTCAGTTTATATTTGCTTTTTTTGTTTGAGTGTGAAAAATGAACTAGCTTTCTGAGGAATTTATTTACTGTAGATGTGGCTAAAAACTCTCTAAAGGATTATTGTGTAAACCAAGCATGAACAGAAATGAATTAAATGTGTGGCTTATTCCCTGGGGATGATAAATGTGAATCATGGTGTAAAAAGCCAAGGTAAAAAACTCTAAACGTACCAGCCCTGATGTTGATCATGGGGTGTGTGGATGCCCTTTATATTCACTGTTGAGATTTTTGATACAGAAGATATTTGCATAGCCTTCCTCAACGTCTGTGTCATTTCCTGTATATCACACCAGGGTTCCAGAAATGCTCTACTTTGTTTCATTAGAAATATTATGCTTTGTTTAATTATTCCCTCTGACTTTCCTGGAATGTTGGAGCGTAACCAAGTTCTGTAAACATTCCCGGAAACTAATATTTCCCTTAGATGCTTCTATAGAAGATGATATGGTATTAATGCATTGTTTTATTAAAATATAAGATGAACCATGATACTAACATTCTGTTTATCTTCCACCCCAAAATAGATTTTTTTCCTGGAATGTCATGTTATAACCGTGTGGGATCCTCCTCCTAAACCTCTCACAATATGTTCCCAGAGATGGCTAATGGTTATTTTATTTGGTCCTTAAGTAGGCTGTTCTTTTACGAAGGGAAGGAATAAAAGCATCGCGACAGGAATTTGATGATATATAAAGCTACATCCTACCCTCTTTACCGCCATAACTTATATCACAATGTAAACAATTGGATGGAGCCCTTCATGTGAACGTAAATGTACAATTACACTGAATATTTTCTGTAAAGGGGCACTCCACTAATTTCACGGATAAAAACAGCTTTCACATGAGCGGTGGCCTAAAACCTTTATATATACAGTCTATGCCTAAAGCTAAGGTATTTACCACAACAAGTCCAACAAAGATACATTGTGATGCTGCATTATGGGAAATGTATGATCCAATGTATTTCCAGTCTGACACACATAAAGCCAGGATGTCTTGATTTTAACAATCTTTTGCTGACCGTCTGAGATTACACTAAAGTATGTGCACTTATAAGTGGAGTAACCCTTTATAAAATGAGATCAGATGGACCTTGATTGATCAGGTGTTATAGCAGCAACAGAATAAGACAGAAACACAGATAGTACACATGGGCTAATAATAATTAAAATAAAATAAAATAAGATCAAATAAAAATATGCCGGCAGTTCAATGCTTTTAATAAATAAAAGTGTGAATCGGTCAATAATCATCATTATTTCTTCCTATATCTGCTTGACTATGCTCCACAAATGTAATAATATATGACACTAAAGTAGGCCCACATTAAATCAGAATGGAGTTTATTGCCAGGTACCTTTACACATAGGCTACAAGGAATTAGCTTTGGTGACTGGTGGTGCGATTGCGAACATTAACAACATAAGGAAATAAGTTGTAAGAGAAGGTCGACAATATAACGATTATAAATATGTGTATCTTTTGTTATAGAGGTAAGAATCAGAATGTTGTACAGTAGGTGTGCGTCGTGTGTATGGTGTATTTGCAGCACTCTTTATGATAAAGGTGAAAGACAGGGGGTGTGCTCTCTCTCTCTCTCTCTCTCCTCCCTGCGCGTACAGTCCCGCTGTATGACCGGAGCGCGTACACTCCCCGGCACGGAGCAGCTCTCTCTCTGTGAGCAGCTTTCCCCCTGTTATTCGGTACCGGGTCTCCCGTGTGTAGATGTAGCCGGTAACCGGAGCTCTCAGCGGCACTCTGCGGTCGCGTTTGCGCCATGGAGGACTGCTGCTCCCCGGAAAGCGAGAGGATGGAAGCGTGGCTGGACGACCACCTGGAGTTCTCTCACTCCTACTTTATCAGGAAGGCGTCAAGGTAAAGGGGGGTGGTGGGACCTTAAACCTGGTGTATTTAGTTTCTGTGCGTAAGAGAGAGCGCTTACTCGTGAACATCTTTGCAGAAAAACAGCCACCATCAGTTTGCTTTTGGTGCCCAGCCCCATAGCCAATCAGGAACGACAAAGATTCGAAGTATTGCCGAGTACTTTTGTGTAATATCAAGTCAGAATATGTCTTTACACTGGATATAAGACCTAGAAACATAGGAAGTAACAAGCAGTGATGTAGGGTCTTGATGTTAGACACTGCATCTAAAGTATCTGAGTCAAAGACTCAAAGCTGTATCTCAGATTAAACCATTTTCACATTTTTATTGGAAAATCACCCAATAATATCAGAAAACAGAACATATTTGAGCATTTGCGGCATTTCCTGATTCTGGTAAATATAGTTCAAAATACAAAATGTATGTTCTAAATATCCCCTTCTTACTTATTTTCCTTATTACAAGCAAAAACACAGTGTTTTCACAATTGTTATACTTGTTTTTGGAACAGCATTTTTTCCAGTGAAACATTTCATCTCCTCTGGTAGTTAATCTTAAACTCTTTATTTGAACTCTCCTTTATAGTCAGGAAGGCTCTAAAACCTGCTCATATCCAACAATCATGTGCTGCGTTCAGGTACACTCTGATCCTTGTCTCTTGTAGAGCTCCTGTAATGCTCTCTGATAAACATGGCCTCTCTCTCCCAGCTCCGTTATTTATCTCATCATCCACTTCACAATCAGTGAGAGCTGTGAGATCTGCCCAGCGCTCTTAAATCATTAACCTATACTGCTGCCAGGGATTCTGTTCAATTCTCAGTGTGCACTGTTGGTTAGATCCTTGGTGATAATTATACAATCCTTCCTCATGGTGCCTGTGTCTTAATTTAAATCACTCAGTTTCAGCCTCCCCAATTAGACCTCAGAGAGCGTGGTTCAGTGCAAAGGAGCCGTTTAATTTCTACGCAAACAAAGATTCCAAAGCAGTCTTGCTCTGGCAGCAGCAGCAGTGTTAGGCATTTTTTTGCAGCAGTCATATCTTGGCATATCATCTTCCTGGCAGCTCTTCATCAGGACACATTAGCTCTGTGTTTGTTTGAGTGACATACTCCTTCAGACCCATTTATCCACTTTAACTGCCATGGCAACTTCACTTAGTTTAGCAACACACATTACCTCAGTCCCATCTCCATCCCCAAATACATTGCCATAAAGAGCATTGTAAGAGGACATGTTTCCTCCACCGCTCTTCCTGACCGCATTAAAAGAAACACAAAAAAGTGTGTCAGTGCATTTCGTTTCTATGCATCAGTTGTTCTGGTTGAGAAGCATTTCTTAGAGAAGTATTGATTCACCCCCCCCCCCCCCCCCCCCCCCCCCCCCCCCCCTGGATACATAAGGATGGGGGGGAGTAAGGAGGATTCCGCCTGATGGCCCTGACAGGCAGATCACAGCTCTTTTGCCACAGCGTTTTATTTGCCTGGCTCCGGGCCAACATATCAGGGTGGATTTAACGGCCGGACGCATGCCAAATACAGAAGAGCAAGCTTTAAAATGTGTGTGTGCGTGTGTGTGTGTGTGTGTGTGTGTGTGTGTTTGTGTGTGTGTGTGTGTGTGTGTGTGTGTGTGTGTGTGTGTTCTCCAAGTCGATAAGACAAGGTGTCGGCTGATTAGAGAGCTTCTCACTAATCACACCCAATTTACTCTTCACACACACACACACACACACACACACACACACACACACACACACACACACACACACACACACACACACACACACACACACACACACACACCGCATTAGACACCTCAGTGTCATCACATGATCTAGATTGTGCTCTTTATTCACTTGTATTATCATTGTTCACTTTATTTATTAACATCAATATGGCTTCATCAGTGTCTGCATTCTCTGTTCCTGCTGACACAAAGTTTCATTGAATTAAAACTCCCTCTGGTCATTTGTCCAATGTTTGGATGCATATTCTACAATGTTCAGAACCAGCAGGGCAAAACACAAATATGTGGAAGGGAAGGAAGATGTTGATGGATGAGCCCATCAAAGTATTTACCTTCCTCTCCAGCAATCAGGGCCATTTTTATTTAAATCATGGCACATTTTATTTTGTAAGCATTTTCAAAACGTTTCCTAACCCTGCTTTATTTGTTTTACTTAGCTAACAATGGGTTTATCTTTGGTCTAAAGCTACATTTGAAGGTTCAATATATGTGGCATTCAGAGCATTAATAAAGCAGAACAAATATCATTTGAACTCTATGTGGCGAGCTAATGCTTATTACCCACCTTACATGGTCATACACCAGCAAACATAAATGTCATGTTTTCATCACGTTTCTACATTGTTTTTGACCAGTATGAGGTCATTTTTTAAATTACATCATCTTGTAATTAGTTGTAATTATTTTTTTCTCTTTGTTTGCCTTTTCTGTGCAAATTGCACCATAAAAGATCAACACACTGGATAGATGTCTCTTTTGTTTTGGTGAATTTGTGGGATTTCAGGAGTAACTTTAAACTATAACAATAGTCTACCTGTCAACCAGTGTGTGTTCTATTATTGGATTTTTTTTACGAATGTTACTTGTAATTTTTCATTTTAAATATTATGTGCACGACCTTTATCTAACAGTGTTTTATTTTTTGTATCTATCTTAACTTCTCCCCTCTGTGGGATGAGTATTCTGATTGTGTATTTAGTCATACGTTTAAAGGTAGGGTAGGTAAGAATGGAGAAACCAGCTCGAGTGCGCTAGAATTTGAAAGTACGCAGCCGAAAAAAATCTGCCCCTTCCTTCAGACTTCCTCACAGAGCCCCTCCTCCAACACACACGAACACGCACATGATAAAGGAGGGCACGAGATAAGTTTGTGCACAGATGGAAGGCTGACAGGCAGGTAGGCCATCCAGTTACTTTAGCCGGGCCGGCTCAGATCGGTCGTGCTTTTTACAGCGCCACGGCTTCCAGAGATGACCTTTTTTTATGTATTTATTGTCAAAGCATTTAATATATTCATTGCTATCGGGGTGTTAAGAGCATTCCATGGAATATAACAAGTGTTTCTGAAGTGAATTACCTACCCCACCTTTAATGTGTTCTATGTTCCAACTGTCAGGAATTACAATGTTTGTGTATGTTGGTGTAAATAGTTGTTATGTAATGGAGTTCAAGTGTTAAATAATATACTGTTAGTCGTATCTCATGTTTTAGGTGGTACTATCCTCTGTCAGATCCAGATGTTTGTCTCAGTCTCAGTGTGTGTCCTGTGCTGCAGGGAGATGGTGAACGCCTGGTTCTCTGAGCGAGTTCACTCCATCCAGCAGTCTTCCTGCAAAGAGAATCCTCCACAGCAGCACTCCGGCCCCCCCTCTGCCTCCACCATCCTCCCAACTACACTCCAGGACAGCCGCTGCCCGTCCCCCATCCCCATCCCCAGCCCGGCCCCTGGCACCCCCACCCGCAAGATATCAGCATCAGAGTTTGACCGCCCGCTCAGACCCATCGTGGTGAAAGACGCAGAGGGCTCTCTGACGTTCCTGAGTGATGCCGAGACGGTCCCTCTGCGCGGCTCTGTGATGGGCGAGGGGGGTATCGGTGGGGGGGGCAGCGGGGCAGGAAGTGACCGCTGCGCCAGGCTGCTGGAGCTGGTGATGGACGTGTCCAGTCATCTGGACGTGACAGCACTCTGTCACAAGATCTTCCTCCACATCAACGAGCTGATCGCTGCAGACCGCTACTCCCTGTTTCTGGTAGGAACACAAACTACTATTTTCTAACTGTTATCTAACTGCAGCAGCAGGGGGGTCCAAACTTTTTTCACTGAGAGCCACATACAGACAAATATACAAAGGGCTGGCATATGAATGCATGAACACTATTCAAGAAGTACAATATAAGACAAGCACTAGTTTCAGGTTTGGGCCATGTTCCATTATACTTTAAGAATTTGCTGCAGGCCAATTAAAAATGGACCACGGGCCACAATTTGCCCCCAGGCAGCAGTTTGGACACCCCTAACCTAGAGCACTGTGATCAGCCGGAGCAGGGGGAATGAGACAGGCCTCTACAGGATGTGTGTGCTGTGAAACATCTCTTAAAAAGTGCTTACACTCACCAACATGCTCACATCTCAGCTTTCGCTCAAACTGCTGATGTGCAAAGCTCCAGTTATTCTATAAAAGTCTTTCACCATACAATGTAGGTGTTATTCTGTCATTGAAGGTCCACTCTATCATGCCAGCTATTGTTTTGCCTTTGTGCATATTTTACATGACGTGCAGACTCACAGGATTTCTCCCTGTGAGCGACCTTTATATTACACACAGTTTTAATTTGATCCATTTTGAACATAGAGGTGTTGACTTGTTCAGCTCTAATTTACTGTATCAGAATCTTAATGTCTTTATTAATCCCACAGAAATGGACATTGTTAAGAGGCCTGCATAACATATTAGAGATTACACAAAGTACAATTTACAAAAGTATATTGATGACAGGTGGATAACAATAAGTACAGTAACAATATTTAAAAAAAAAAGTCAAATAAAATAAGAGTCAAACACGTGGGTTTGCTATCCTGGCTCCAAGATGGTGGAATGAGCTCCCCATTGACATCAGGACAGCAGATAGCTTACACACCTTCCGGGGGAGACTGAAAACTCATCTCTTTCGACTCCACAGCGATAGAACTATTAACAAAGCACTTATATACTAATAAAGGACTGGCTTATCTTAAGCCAGTTGAGTAGCACTTGAAATGTTTTTGCTCTATGAAGCCTGATGTACTTTATGATTCTGTTTTCTTCAAGGTTATGTCTTCTTGGTCGAACGCACTTATTGTAAGTCGCTTTGGATAAAAGCGTCAGCTAAATGTAATGTAATGCATGTAGAAAAAATGTGATAGCAGCCAGATAACAGTAGTGATTGCACAGTGTTTTACAGATTGTGTTACAGTAGTTAAATAACCTAACTAAGAGCTAGCAGCGAGTAAAAATAATAATTATAAAGCGGTATATATATATATACTGTATATTGTTTACTTTTACATTGTCTTTTTCCTGTACAGGGGGAATGGAATTCTTGCTGACACACTCTCATAAGATGTGTTGTTGTGAATATTACTATAACCCATATCAACTTGTTATCTTGTTATTAAGAGTCTTTGTTTGCTTCCTTGCTGTGTTTGGAGTGTTAGCAAATACAAAGGAGCACAATAATATATTTCCTAGTTTTGATGAGTCTTTCTGTTTCTGGTCCCAGGTGGGCGAGGACAGTTCCAACAGGAAGTTCCTGGTCAGCCGTCTGTTCGATGTGGCAGAGGGGTCCACGCTGGAGGAGTCCTCCAGCAGCTGCATCCGGCTGGAGTGGAACAAGGGCATTGTGGGACATGTAGCCGCCACCGGACAGCCGCTCAATATCAAGAATGCTTACGAGGTAGGGTTTTCAATTATTTTCCATGCGTGTCAAACCATGTGTGTGCTTTCAGGTGCATTCAGTAGTTTGTGCTGACAGAGCACATAATTGAGGGGGAATAAATAGAGATCAAAGAAGTAGGTTTTCTGGAGGATACATCTTCACTACTGAAAAAGACTCACATACACACACGTATTTTACTCATGACACTTTCAGGGTACTGACCTTATGTGCAGCAGATATACATCCTTGGGTTGGCACATTTCTGTGAGCGGCACCAATGTACAGTGTGTGAGTGTATTGATCAGGCTGATTGTACAATTATAAGTACATCCTCCATATTTATACATATGGTAGGCTACATTTCCACTGATCTGAAACAGCATAGGTGAAGTCATTGACAAGGTAGTACATTTAGAAAGTCATTGGAAATGCAGCCCACCAGCAGCTTAGCTAATGGAACACTATTTTCTGTGGCGCTGCGAAGATGTGGACCCAACATCGGACCAGCAGAGTGATACAAGTAAATGTCCTGGACATCTGAATCTCTTCCCAACCCGATCAATGATCAAACCAGCCAGTCTTCGACACGTTCCACCAAGTGCCAGAACTATTTATTAGGAATAAACTGTTTTTCATCAAGTGAAAATACATAGTTCCAGCCCATACATTTCCCATAAACCACAACCAATTTTTACATTTCTGTTTTTACATATTTAACAGGGAGCAATGTTTAATATATGCCTGAATTGAAACAGTTAAACACAAAAGATGAGCTAACAGGTTACAGTGTTGGGGTTGTATCAAAGACGTCAATGAATTGTGTTGCAGGGATATCTTTCGTTCCTCAGGATAGTACTATTCTGACCTCAGTACAGTGAAAGACCTGGTTGTCAATATTAGATCTGTGCCTCGTCTCAGTCACCCTGCACCTAAGCAAACATTCAAACTATCGAAAGGTAAAGTTACACGAGCGTTCAGACTCCAATAACTGATGGCTCAGCCCCACGTGGAGATTATAGGATAGTTGAGTGTGTGTGTGGTTGAATTCTGTTTATTGATCACTGACTTGCTAAGTGAGTGACAGAAAAACAGAAGTACATCGGCATCCCTCTGTTAGAAAAAGTGGTGGGGACACTTTTTCTGATTTAATAAAACCACTGCTGCATTAAGCCTCCCCCCGTAAACAATACCTGTACATACATACAGATGCTTACAATACTTTTTGGGCAACTAGTGCATTAACTATGCTACACTGCATCAAAGTGGGAGCAACAATTGATTACTATTCTCTATTAAAAAAAACTAATACTAATATTAAACGTGTCGAAGGTGCAATTTGAACCATATCATTTTATGGTGTTTGTGATCTCAATCCATCCTTTGCTTTTCCTATCATGGGCAGTGCCTCGAACAAATGTGTCTTCAAGCGATGCTTGACTTTACTTCAGACATTTCCCCAGAGATGCTCGTTGAAGCAGATCGTATCTTCATTACATTACATTACATTACATTGCATTACATTACATTACATTACATTGCATTTAGCTGACGCTTTTATCCAAAGCGACTTACAATAAGTACATTCGACCAGGAAGACACAACCTTGAAGAAAACAGAATCATATAAGTACATCAGGTTTCATAGAGCCAAACATTTCAAGTGCTACTCAACTGGCTTTAGGTAAGCCAGTCCTTTATTAGTATATAAGTGCTTTGTTAATAGTTCTATCGCTCGAAGTGGAGTCGAAAGAGATGAGTTTTTAGTCTGCGCCGGAAGATGTGCAAGCTATCTGCTGTCCTGATGTCAATGGGGAGCTCATTCCACCATCTTGGAGCCAGGACAGCAAACCCACGTGTTTTTGCCGATGGGAATTTGGGTCCCCCTCGCAGCAAGAGCGCAGCGAGTCGTTTGGCTGATGCAGAGCGTAGTGCACGCGCTGGGGTGTACAGTTTAACCATGTCCTGGATGTACGAAGGGCCAGATCCATTCGCAGCATGGTAAGCAAGTACCAGTGTCTTGAAGTGGATTCTAGCAGTTACCGGAAGCCAGTGAAGGGAGCGGAGGAAAATTTAGGAAGGTTGAAGACCAGACGAGCCGCTGCATTCTGGGTGAGCTGCAGAGGTCGGATGGCACATGCAGGTAGACCAGCCAGGAGGGAGTTGCAGTAGTCTAGGCGTGAGATGACGAGAGCCTGGACCAGAACCTGCGTCGCTTTCTGGGTCAGCTGGGGACGTATCTTCCTGATGTTGTAAAGCGTGTATCTGCAGCAGTGGGTTGTAGCAGCTATGTTTGCAGTGAAGGACAGGTTGTTATCTAGGGTCACACCCAGATCCTTGCAGTCTGAGTCGGGGAAACAACTGAGGTGCCGATGTTGATTGTTAGGTCAAGAGTGGGACAATCTTTTCCCGGAAGGAAGAGCAGCTCAGTCTTGTCAAGGTTGAGCTTGAGGTGATGAGCAGACATCCACTGAGAGATGTCAGCTAGACAAGCAGAGATGCGTGCGACGACCTGGGTCTCTGAGCGGGGAAAGGACAGAATTAATTGGGTGTCGTCAGCGTAGCAGTGGTAAGAAAAACCATGCGGGCTAATGACTGATCCGAGTGAGTTTGTGTACAGGGAGAAGAGGAGGGGACCAAGAACAGAGCCCTGAGGGACCCCTGTAGTTAATTGACAAGGGTGGGACTCAGACCCTCTCCAAGTCACCCTGTAGGTACGGTCTTTCAGGTATGAGGTGAGGAGGGAAAGTGCAGAGCCTGAAACTCCAAGTTCTTGGAGAGTGCGAAGGAGGATCTGATGATTCACCGTGTCGAATGCAGCAGACAGGTCCAACAGGATGATGACAGAGGAGAGGGATGCAGTTTTGGCAGTGTGCAGTTCCTCCGTGACCGCAATGAGAGCAGTTTCTGTGGAGTGACCTGCCTTGAAACCAGACTGGTGCGGATCCAGAAGGTTATTCTGATGGAGATAACAGGAGAGTTGTTTAAAGACAGCGCGTTCAAGTGATTTAGACAGGAACGGGAGGAGAGAGACAGGCCTGTAGTTTATAACATCAGACGGGTTGAGAGTGGGTTTCTTTAGGAGAGGGTTTACTCTTGCCTCCTTGAGACTGTTTGGAAAGTGACCAGAAGTTAGAGAAGTGTTGATGAAATGGGTGAGAAACGGTAGAATATCAGGAGCGATAGTCTGAAGGAGGTTTGAAGGGATAGGGTCCAGAGGACTGGTGGTAGGTGGGCAGAGGTAATGAGGGTAAGAACCTCACTTGGAGAGAGAGGGGAAAAGGAGGTCAGTGTGTTGGTGGAAGGAGGGTCTGGTGACCCAGCGGTGAGTAAAGGGGAGTCAGAAAAAGAAGAGCGAATATCATCAACCTTTTTTTCAAAGTGGGTAACAAAGTCGCTTGACAGAAGTGAGGAGGGGGTACATTCTTTGTACTCCAATAAGTGCCTTCTGTTGAGGTGGTGGAGTAAATGACTTGTGTTACCTCCTCGCACAACTATTTCAGTTCAACGGCATTTGCAATAATTGGTGCAATTTGGTCTACGTCAGATTTTTGGAATCCAGAAAACCTCCAGACGACTCCAGACAGCTCCTCTCCTCAGTTCTTCTTGTGTTTCCATCTCCAGTCTCCTGTTATGCAGTGTCCATCTTTACATTCAGCTTCACATGTTATGCTACTGCTGCTACGCTTGGTGCTGTACCCAGCATGCATTTCATCGCTGCAGCAGTGAAAGAGCGCCCTTCGCCACTTTTTCAACGGCATTGCGGTATATGAAAAATGTATATCATACGGTATAAAGTTGACGGTATTTGGTATGAAGCGGTATACTGCCCAGCACTAGCAGCAGGGTTGTAGGAGATGCTCACAATAGAGTATTAACACAGTTTGATGTAAACGTGTGACTGAGAGATACGCTGTATATAAATGCAGTTAGTAGTACTATACAACCTTGACTTGAAACCTTTTTCCGCCCTTCCTCCAATCCCAGATCGGGTTACAGCATGTGACCTCTGTAGAATAAGCCCCTGACCTTAAACCCCTCCAGCTGTTCCCACATTGTATTTGCATATTTGAATATTATTATATTATTAACTGTTTTACTTAAATAATGAAAATCTGACAATTTTATTTGCGAGAGTAGGATGGAGGAAACAGGAATGTGTGTTTTTGGCTGCACACTGAGTGTGATCTTCCTCTTAAAGAGTTACGAGTGTCTTCAAAAAGGAGCGGATTTGTGTGTGTGTGATGTGTGTGTGTGTGTGTGTGTGTGTGTGTGTGTGTGTGTGTGTGGATGGAAGAGAGAGAGGGAGAGAGGGAGAAGTATGGGGCTATGATTAAATGCATATGTTTTTTGTGCAGTCAAATGTGTGTGTGCTTACCTCAGTGACCTCGTCTGAAATGTCAAATATGTCGTTCTCTTCACTTAAGCTGTATTTATATACTCAAAAGACAACTCAAACTGAGATATAGACTTAGAATCAGAGGTGGGAGAAGTACTCAGATATTGTACTTAGTAGAAGTACCAGAGTGTAAGAATACTCTGTTACCGGTAAAAGTCTTGCATTCAAAATGTTACTCAAGTAAAAGTAGAAAAATATTAGCATAAACATATCAAAGCTGGTAAAGGTGCAGCTAGTTTGAATGACTTTGTATACTGCAGGGTAGCTTGTGAATTTACTCCAGGTGGAACTGTTTTTTTTGTAGTGACGAATGAAGTTGGATGTTGTGGTGGTCGCCTGATCTTTATGCTGCAGACCCTGCATACCGCTGTTTTCTTCTTATTAGCGTCATCGACAAAATAATCCTTGAATCCAAACTTGACTATTTTTGGAGTAAAGCTAGCCGCTGCCATGTTAACTGACACTCCTGCTTTCTAGTGGGTTGCCAGGTTTGCGCGCATGGCGCTATAATCACCCAATCACGTTTTTCGAAAAAACTAAACGTAATATCTCACTACAAAAACAAACAGTCAAGTCCTTTCAAGTCATCTGTCTCAAGCTTAAGTCAAGTCTCAAGTCATGAA